AATAGGTTAAGTGGAGCTTCCTACCATACTACAACATAAGTTTGTGCATCCCTCAGTTCAGCTTATGTTCATTCCTAAATATGAAGTCCCATCAGTCATATATGATGCATCATTCCACCGATGAGAGACAATTCCTAGTATAATTTTCCTTCAAGGGATTTTCTCCTTCTAGAATTCTAAGGGGGGGATATGTGAGAGAAGAGAAGTGAGTGAGAGGAGCATCAAAGGGTAGAGACAAGAATCTATGTGTGTCGCCAACGGCCCTTGGTTGACCTTGAATATGTTTCGATCTCAAGAGACGTCATCAAGAAACCAAGTCATTACAGCTTTGAAGTTTATGTAAAATAAGAATTTCTTTAGAGCTTTGAAATTAATTGTGTGTTGGTTAATGATGGTTGTTTCCACAAATCATGTAAAAGTATCATCAAATAAAAGTGACAAAAAATTATACTTATGTGACTACATGATGTTTTATAAATATAGTTATCTTCTTTTGGTCATGATGATTTGGTAATATAGTAGTTTTTTATCATTCAGGTATAGAGTTCAGTAAACCAATAATGATTGGTAATATGTGTTATCTAGAGACAAAATAATATCATGAAATACTTGTCAATTTGATTGATATTCAAAGGTACTTTACATTATTATATTTCAAAGATTGATTAGTTGACATTTTGTTCTTTTAGTAGAATTCATAAATATATTAGTTAAAAATTAAGTAACAATGATATTAAAAGTAAAAGGACCCTATTGTATCATTTTTCCTTTCCTCCTAGGTAACTTTATGACAAGTTTTCATTATTGGTGTCTTTGCACATGGAAGGACACTAATAAGTAATGTATTCTCAATTGTGCACACAGAAGAGTCAAAGGTTATCTCTTTGTAGCGACAAGAGTTTTCTCAACAAGAGTCCCATAATTGAGCACGTTGTACCTCTAAGATATATGTTACAATGTATGAACAACTTTAATGTAAAACAAAATGAGAACATTCTCAATGATTGGAGACCAAAATATAAAATTTCAAAATAGATGTCACAAGATAATATAGGCATCATAAGAAAACTTACCAAAGTCTTTATAGTATTTGTTCATAAACTTACAAAATTAGGACAAATGTTTTGTGATCTCCAACTAGAATCAAATAATCATCCAAATTTAAAACAAAGAGAAGACAACTTTGAACTATTTCAAAATCTAAGATTGTCATTTTATTCATCTACATAGTATTGATGAAAAATCACTCACTTTGATTCACGACGTCAAATTCTTTCATTTCTTGGTAAATGTAAATTCATTAGGTATTTTTAGCACCTTCAGTTTTCACTGCAAAATTGAAAAATGTATTATGTGAGAATTGATGAATGTAAAGTAATGGAGAATAGAAGGTCGTTCATTATAAGTCACATAAACAAAATAACAATTATTGTTTAAAGAAAATTTGAAAATATTTCTATCTTACCTAGGTATCATATAAATGCTTCAAAATCGTCTCCCATGAGCTATCTTCAAGGGTGTCTAGGACATCAACTTTTGGGCTGCTCTCTGAAATGGAATGTTGTTCATTGATTGTGTGAGTCACATTCTTGTGGAGTTGGCTTTGATTTTGCAGTAAATTTATATTTTCATCTCCGACTGGTACATTTATAGACATACCCTGTATCAACCCAAGTTCTCCAGTATAACTGTGGAGTTGTAGACCAACATAGTTGCTGCCTTGCATCAAATTCTGTGGTTGACTATTTTCGGCCACAATGTCTATGTTTCTTGCATTCAAAATACTATCACTACCATGGCCTTTTGATATACTAAGAGTTGGAAGGGTGTTGACATTTTCAAGAGAATTTAAGATAATTGACTGAAGATTTGTAACTGGATGATCAATGCTTTCAATATTCAAAACACCAAACAAACTCTTCTTTATAGGAGTGTCATACACAATCTTTCCTTGGCCCAATAACTTTCTTTGCTGATACATATTTACTTGTTCAAGATTCATCATTTGAGACAAGAGTAGAGACATATGAGATTGCAGCACTTCAACATTGGTAATGTCTTTGCAGTCTGAGATGCCTAATTCTAGCTTGTGCTTCTTCATTATGTCCTTGGGCCCAGAGTCTAATATTGATGGCCTTTCCATTTTATGTAACCAGAAACAACTTCTAATGCTTCTATTCTGGTTGTTGAGATCCTTGCCTTTTAAGTATTTTCGATACTTCTGCTTCGTGTTAAATAAAATCATGATTATAAGACAAGAACTAGTACTTACATATTATGTTATGAACAATAAATTAGAAAATAACTTCAAAACTTTATTCAAAATACCATATATTGTAGTTGAGAGGTGCTTCTTAATAAGAACATATGAACAAACAATTAAATCTAGCTTTCAGATAAAAATATGAAATCATATAAAAGGAATTGAAAAGCCATATCATATCCCAACATGTTTTCAGTCAATTATCTTAAATAATTGGTCCAAAAAAGGAGAATGATATGGGTGGAGCTCATGAGATACAAGAACCAAATGTTGAGTGGAACCTATGTGACATGATTTTAAATTTTTAGTCCAATTTGAAGATGAAAAAAGTTGTTTTGGAGACTTATTGGAACAATCCATATAGGGATCCTCACTAATACTAATATATGATCATGAACTTACTTTTATCTTCTGATTTCAAAGGTGTTTTCTTTTAGCTTCCATGATAAAATAATTACAGATAACTAAGTCTTCCATTATACCTTGCTGAATTGAACTTAGAAGAATGATTGTTTCATCTTCTTGGCATGGGCAGTTTACATCGCAATTTGATAAACTCCCTTCAACATAATTATATTGTTTTAATTTTTGGATATGGGTAGTGTGATGTTTTACGCAATACCTAAGGACCATTTCAGTTTGTCTCCTCATAAATTTAAAGCATATATTGAAGTTTTAAGGTCAATGTTAACACTTAGATGTTACCACTATTTACAAACTATGAGGTATTCATTTGTAGTTGCATAATGTCCACCCATATCATTGTCCTTCTCTGGTTCTCATGTAATGAAAATGTCTCATGTATGATATATGACCATCATAATGTAATGCACTCATCAGATTTAAAAAACTAAGTTATGAACCTCTACTATCTGAAAAGTTGTTCACTCTAATTTAAGCATATAAATAAATTACAAACATTCTTGATAGTGAAATTCACATAGTCTTGTCTAATAGATATTTATATATTGCAAACCATATATTTCAAATGCATAGTCATGGTCACATTTTTTATTTTAAAAATATAATTATAATACTTATCAAATTATTTTTTTTCGAGATACAATCAACTATGTAGCATAGAACCCAAATATTATTAGCTACCAATTTTCTTTTCAAAAGTATATGATATGTAACTCTAAAAATTAGAAGAATTTAGGAACATGTTTAATCATATCATGCTTCAGGAGAACAACAACTAGTTTACAATCATTGAATTTCATTTAATTTACACACAAAACTGGCATTATTGAAATTGTCAATATAAATAATTAATGCTTATAACCAGTTGGTGATGAGCAGTACCTTTCACTAAAAAAGAATCTACTCTTTCTAGTTGATGCCCAAGGATTTGTAAATGTGTTTGTAATAATTTGATTTTAAACACTGATGAAAAAGGTTAGTATAGATCCACCACATCTTCTAGCATCATAGGGATCCTCAATAGCTTAAAAGGTTAGCGCTTAGATGAATATTAACTTCTATGCCTTCATATGTTTTAGGAGTTCAAGATTTCAAGGCAGCCATGTTATGGGGATAAAAAATTGAAAGATCTTTGATGATTGTGATCGCAAGGTACCTTGAGGCTATGAGTCCACCACATCTTCTAGCATCATATGGATCCTCGGTAGATTGAAAGGTTAGCATTTAGATGAATATTAAGGTCTATGCCTTAATATGTTTTAGGAGTTCAAGATTTCAGGCAGTTATGTTATGGGGGTAAAAAATTGAAAGATCTTTGATAATTGTGATTGCAAGGTACCTTGAGGCTATAAGGTCACACTTTAAGGCTCCTAACAAAGAAAGGGAGGTGATGTATACTGTATCGAGGAGGAGAGCTCCTTGACACGGTGGTCCACATCAGCTTTAGATGATTTTATTCATCTCTTTCCTTTTTTCTTACTCTTCTTTTTGACCTCAAACTATGGCACAAAGGCTGAGCAACATATGCAGTGATTTGGTAGTCAGAAGTTCATTAATTATCAGTAGTTCTAAGTGCTGATTTCATGTGATGCCAGTGACAATGACGATACATGGTGACAACTTAGTAAGTGGATCTAAGTAGAAGCATATTGTTCGCCTTATTTAGTTTGTAACGTTACATCATAACAAAGTTGATTTTAAATGCCTTATCTACATAAACTTTCACAAACATTTTTTGACCTTATGCTCTCTATCTCTACCCTTCAATCCATCTTTCTTAACTAATGATATATTTCCATGTATAGAATATCTGTTGAACACAAATTCATACTCCAATTTCATCATTGATCTTTTCCATCTACAATGTGCATTATTTTTCCTCAAAGCTTCAGATATCTGTCAAGAGTTCTATTCACTTCTATGTGACTAAGTATGCATGTATCTACACTACTGAAAAACCTAGGATCTTGAATTTTTGATGAGATAAATTAAATAAGTTTTTAAAACCTTCTAAAAAAGTTGTTTGATCTCTGATTTTTCAATAAATCATTCTCAAACTTAGAGTAAGAGATCACATCAAGCAAGATCTCTTTCTCAACTCAAGTTACAAACCATCAAACACTAAGACATGGATAAAAATACATATCTAAATGGGACCTATTATGCCATCAGTTCGTGTAATACATTATCTAATTGCTCGAAAAAAAAACTTTTGTCATAATGTAATGAATGAAGGATGTTTAATGCATAAGATGATAATTACAAACCTGCAAATGGCTTGCAATGTGGGATCGCATCATGTCTTGTCGACCCATCAACTGTAGTATTTTCTTTGGGGTTGCCTCTGCGAGAAAGTGGAGGTGGGTTGAGATAAACCTTTAGTATATACAAGGATATAACTAACAAGCAATAGAATTGACCAAATCAATCTGAAATGGCCAACGTAGAAATGGAACTCACGTTTGATGCCTAATCTATCCACTGCATCTAGGAACTGCATATGCAAATCATGGTTCCATGACACTTTTTGCTTCTTTCTTTCAACTTTTTTATCTATTTTAATGCTATCTTCCTCTTCTTCGTCATCTTGTTCATCTTCTGTAGTCTTCTTAACTATTGTTGATGGTGGTGTCATAGGCCCAACAAGGGTAACATGCTGCCAAATTGTACCAACAGTAGAAAGGTCCATTGGTTTTTGGTGGTAAAATGTAGCCCCAGCAACGAGGCATTCAACTGCCAGATCATGTCCCCTTGTACATGACATCACTATATCATAGTACTAAAGTCAGTATAGCTGTGGACAGAAGTAAATAGGTCCTTTAGGCAGTGAACTTACTGATTACTGGGATGTTAAATTCCATCTTGACATGCTGAAGAAGAGAGAATCCATCAATATCAGGCATCCTAACTTCAGTGATGACTAAATCAATTCGTTCTTCAGCATTTTTTAGAACCTTCAATGCACAGCTTGCCTTGGAACATGCAGTCACTAAATGAAATCAGGTCAGCATTAAAGTTTACTTTGATGATGAACCTTATGATTACGTATTATTTTCAATTCTGCTATGGATCTTCCCCTCAATAGAAGTAGAATGTAATGTTTTCAAGAATTTTGAAGATATAACTACTATGTTTCTTCTCACACTAGAAGTCTTTTCAATGTGATGACTTGAGCACTTTTCTTTTTTTCAAAGTTGCTCTTTACCTGATGAGTTGACCGTTTGTTTTATTTAATAGTAAATATATTTGCATGAGTTGAAATTATTCACATGTCAACTTTTGTTCATGTGTCTCAAACATAGATTAAAATCTTCCAAAGGCAGAATCATGAAAAAAAATCTAAATAACTTCCCATTCTTCTTAAATGAACCAAGTTTTTGTGTTTCCTGCCTTTTAATTCAAGTAAATATTGAAAAATATTGAAAGTTACAATTTCATTAGTACCCACTATAAGATTAAAGCATCAAACCATTAGCAAGTTTAGAAGGCATCTTTCTATGAAAATATCTTAAAGTGACATGTTTAGAAGTAATTAATCTTTTTTTATGATTACACATAGAAAAAAAAAATTGTCTCCATGGAAAACTAATAAGACATGTAAATTTGGATATTTTTCTTATTGATCTGTGCATGGTAGTGTTAGGAGTGAACTAGAGACACTTTTTGCCTCATTATCAACATTATTTTAAATATGAATTCATTTTATATGATCTCTCAAAATAAAGAATGATGTTATATGCTAAAAGTAAATATAAAAAATACATATAATTAAATTAATGGTGAATAAATAAATATTTTTTCCCAAATTAAAATGTGTTACAAGATAAAGTTTTTACCTTAGTATTCAACCAACAACAACCTTTACTCTATTCATTTAAAATCTTATCAAAGAGTTGTATTGGCCTTTCCAGACCATTTTAGTGCATTAAAAAAGTATTAAAAATGAAAGAAAGACATTAACTAAATCATAGTAGGACAAGTAGGGGTGGATATGCCTTAAGCACACAGTTGAAGCTTGGGCAAAATTGGGATATGTGAAACCTTCCGAGTACGTCGAAAGGGGAGCTTTCTCTTTTTAGACCTCTGTTCGAAATTCAAAAGAAGTCGCATGTCGCCTAGTTCCTTAATGTCATTGGTATATTTTTCGAACTGTCTTTTATGCCTGACAACTAGTTTAATACCTTGTATGAAAATTAACTTCTGTGAAAAAAATAATGTAAAAAATTGTATATGGAGATTCCTTTCCTATTAACATCATTTCCCATATATGTAAAAAAATACACTAAAATTAAACAAACTTTTAGATAGAAGATTTTCCGAATATATTGAAAAGTAGTTCTCATCTGGATAATAACTCTGGAGTCCCAAAGGCTGATATACTCATCGACAAAACCAACACTTTCAGATCAGCAACAGGTGAGACATCATGAACAGAAATAACCTCTGAATAATGATTCCACGGAAGATAAGAAATGAAAAATTATGATCCAAGGTTAAAGCCCTAGCCAGTAAAATGTGCAAGGAGAAAGAAAAAATGTTTAGGACGAATATGGTATAATGAAAATCAAAAATACCTTCCACGTAGATCCTCGATGTCATCGATAGTAGAGAGAGAAGAGGACGAAGAATAAAGTTAAACAGTAGGTGAAAAACTTTACATCCAATGTCGATCTCTACCTTTGTATCGAAAGCTTATAAGTTTCTGCACGAGATCACGCAAGGTTTGCTCGTCGTTGTCTACTACAATGATTCGAAGACCATTCGGGAAGAGAGTAGTGATGTCATTGTCCATGGCGACGATAGGGAAAGAGGTTGAACCAGAAAATTCTTGGTAGCCAAATGAGGAGGAGATGTGACGGTGACCAACGAAACTTTCCAAAAAGGAGACGATGTAACGAGAAGCATTTGCTTTAAAACCGGTAATTTCTCCTCTCCGCAACTCCAAAAGGAAGGCTGTACTTTCAGGTGGGAGGCCCACTGTTTAACTGTACATTAACAAATGGTGCTGAAGTATGTTTTTAATCTATTTTTAAATACCAATAATAATTTAAATAAAGTAGGTAAAGGATAATGAGGTGTGGAACCTAACCTTGCTCGCAACACATGGAGCCACAAAATCTCACAGAATTCGCGCATTAAACTCACCTCCGGAGGACAGACTGTCTTTCCCTCCCTGGATACCTCAGGGGCTACACCTGTAAGACCGCCCAGCCTAGTCTTCTCTTTCCGTTTGCGATTTTCTAGCGCCTGTACATTTATCTCCTCACCCCACAATTGTTGTCTTTCCTGTCTCAATCCCCCTTTCACGAAGCTTCCGTTTCTGCGATCTCATGCTCTGTAGTTCAAATTCGAGCGAGAAGGGCCTGAAGGCGGCGCCAAAGGGTCGCCATGCCCCTATCCTGCGAATGACACCTGTGTGAAGGATATCCGGAACCTGATGAGAAATGATGGCTTAGAATTACGAGTTGCACCCGTTCGACGCTCAGAACGAGTCAATGGCACCGCGTTTGGATCGTTAAAAGTAACGTATGGATAAACCGTGAATAGACGCATAAGTACAGCACAAGACCTGACAGCAAACACCACCGTCCCCATTTTCATCTTTTCCCCGTTCCCTTTTCGCCTCCGCCGCCTCTGCTGACGGTTTCGACGGTGACGGAATTCGCCTCCACCGCCTCCCCGTCCCAACAAGTGGCTCCACTCCCACCTTACGGTGACCCTGAACGGCACCCATGTTCAATGGTTGTAGGGGGCAGGGATTTTGCCGAAAGAAAAAAGGGTGGTTGAGGGAACTACTACGGAGAGTCGTAATGAGACTTAAAAATTAAAATAAAAGAGTACATGTAAACACACATTCTAAAAACTCACCCCATCTTCGATAGAGAGTCTATACTCGATTGTTTCATTGAAGAAAAGGGCAGAGACCTTGTCTTTCCTAATTATATGATACCGTTGGTGCCTCTGATAATATATCCGTGTCAAAATTATGCCAGATTCTTCCCATAGGACTCCTAGGTCTCTTGTACAAAGAGCACAACAGCTGTGTTGCCGTTAAGTAGTTTATCAGATACTCTGATTCCGGGAAGAAAACAAGTGGTTTTAACCATCTCACTAGAATTTAAATAGCTGTAAGCCATAATTGAGGAATAATGAAAGTATCCAACTGACTTTGCTCCTGGGGAGATTTTATCCATCATATGAAAATAGTCGAAGAGTTGTTTTGACGAAGTATCCATACTCAATTGGAACTACATATTGGAGAGAAGCGTCCCCCCCTTGGATGGCCGGAAACTGGGGACTCAACAAAAAAAACGCGAGAGATATATGGGAAAGGGGCAAGAGAAGAAGATTGCACACCAGATTTTAACGTGTTTCGAATGATCTTCCAACATCCACAGTTGCACAAGTTTTTTCTTCCTTTCGGACGGAGAATCATTCTACAACAAAAAACCCATAAGAGGAGGCATCTCCCTCCCTCCCAACCCCCCCTCAAGAGCTGACTAAATTATTCTCCGCATATCTCCAGCACCATAAAGTAGAAAAATAATAGGTGAACTCCAAAATCACCCCTTAATTCGTCATTTTAAATGATAATCTATTGCATCAAAATGAATGGCTGTGGTTATGTCAGGTAACACAAGTATCATCATGAAATCGAGAAGTTATGTCGCATATCCAAACTACACCATAGAATATTCCATGAGGAACAGACATTTTACCTACGAAAAATCCTCAACTTAAGGAGACCCCACACTAAAACTGACAAAGAGAAATTAGAGTACAATGATCTTTTAAGGGTTGGATCTAAAAGCCTTGGGAAGTCAACCAGAAGAGAAGTATGAATTTATATCTTCCCTGTTAACCCTATTTCGTTTTGTGTGTTCTTGACAGGGGCATCAACGTGATCCGCAGTCATTGTTGTTTTTCCAGCCAAACAAAAAGAAGGGACGGTTTAGGTTTTTAAATTGTTCACCACGTTCCCAATAAATTCTTCAGCTTTTGATGGAGTGAGAATTTAAGTTTGATGACCTCCATTTCACATAATTTCAAATAAAATAAATATTTCATGTAATCCCTGAATAAGTGATGACAGCATCCTTCACATTAGAGTAAAACCCTTTAGTCCAACTTCTCTCTCCTTTCTGTGACATTGTGACTAACAAGCAAAATGTTTCTTTCCATTAAAGCATTTAACTTCTATTTTACTTGATCTAGGTTTAGTTTCTTGGTTTGAGTTATAAATATTTTCACTCTATGTACCTTTCATCTTTGTTTTATTCAAGTGCAGTCTTATGAGAGAGGGAAAAGTATTAGGAAACTTTAAGGTACAATGTTGCACATATTATGATAATAGAGGCTAGTCCTCTAAGACTGAGCAAAAAATTAGGAAACTCCAAGGTGTAATATTAACATAATAATTGAGTATAATATTGTTAGGGAGTGAGACTAAGTTATTAGGACTTGATGGGCCTCAATAAGGCCTGATATTACAGTGGAAGAAGAGAGCAAGAGGAAAGAATGTTCACAATTGTAATAAATGATAAAGAAAATGATAAATGACTTAAATAAAGAGACATTATTTATTGTGGTCTAAAGAGGAAAAACACACCTACATCCATCAAAAGAGAAGGAGAATATTCACTATTAATGAGGTACGAAATATAGAAGTAAATGGAGTTAATAAAGCTCTAACTACAACCACCGTAATAGGGGAGGAGGAGGAGACTCGAAATCTTGATTCTAGTCATTAGAAAGGAAAGAGTTTCTCATGCCCTTGATTTTTGTCTCTTTTTCTCTCTCCCAAATCCCCATTTTAATATATGTTTTACTAAGGGATTGGACTGATTTTATACCTAAATAGTGCCTAAAATATGAGAAAAAGTGGAGATGATGTAAATGGACTTTTTCAAAAAAGGGGTTAATCAGGTCACCCTTACAAATCTCCACCTTGGTATCGTCAACACAAGCATCTTCAAGCTTCATACTAAAACATTTATCAGTTCCTCATAACTGCCACAAAAAATGGATGTTGCATGCCTTCTTCGAACAGGAGATTGGTATCAAGTACTAAGAATTCCGATTAGGTTCACCAAATGACAAAAGTTCAAAGATAAAACAGACCTTGGTAACAGATCACCTAGACTGTCTTCAACAGTAATCTTCTGCACAATATTTTTTTTATTTTTTAAATTATATCATCAGTGAAATGATATCCCACATCAATATCATTTATATTTTCATTATATATCTAATATATAGCTATGTGAATAACATTCTAACTATCATTGTAAAAAAATAGTCAATTCATCACATAAATTAAGCTGACAAAATAAACTTCTTAACTATTTAAATTCCTTTAATTTTTCAATAATTATAATAAGCTCTGCTTCTATGGTGGATAATACAACAATTGGTTATAAGGAAGCTTTCCAACTTATAGCACAACCAAAGAAAAATAATGTCAAAGTATCACTATTTATTACAAACCCTAAACATGAAGTCATCATACCCCACAAGTACCTAAAAATTCATTTAATTTCATGTCATTTTTTTACTTATGTTTTACCTATCATCCCACATGTTAAAGTGACTAATTGTGTTTCATTGTACTCTGCTTGAGCCAGAAATAATTTACCCTAACCTAATTTTTTCATATCTCCATTTTGAGAATTTTCTTAGTTGCTCATAAATCTTTTCATTCAAATTCACTACTTAGTAAAGCTTTCAACTTGTTAATTTCAAACATATATTTTTCTACAACTAACATGTTGTCAACATAAAGCAATAAATAAATAATTTGACAACTTTCTGAAATAACCATAATTATTAAATTTACTCTAAAAAAATTATTTTTGTGTCTAAATGTATCAAATCCGTTATATTACTATTGAGGAGATCACAGATTTATTAAGTAAACAAACATGATTCTATTTTCTTCAATCATAAAGCATTCAAGTTGCTACATATAATTTTCTTTTTCAAAATTATCATATAGAAAACTTGTTTTAACATCTATCTACTCTAACTATAAATTATTTGATGCAACTAAAGATAATAAGCTATCTTAAGTTATATTGAATAAAAAGTCAAAGATATCATTATAAGTAATACCTTCCACCTAATTAGAGTCTTTTGCAAGTAAATGTATGTAGACTTTACATCAACAACATTTGGAATGCCTCATTTCTTCTTAAAAACTTATTTTCACCCAATGAATTTCTTTCCCTTTAAGAGTCTTCACCCACTCTCAAGTCTAGTTTTAATAGATAAGTTAATTTATTCCTCAATATTAACTAACAATTTGTCTACATTCTTACAAAATATGACATCTGAAAATTTAAAAGTCTTGTTAGAATAGAAAAATCTCATTCCAATAGACTATGCATAAAAAACTATGTTGGAATAGTCAAACTTCAGCCTTGATCTAATCCATGTCCTTTATTAATTTTGGACACAATAGTAATTCTGAATTTTAGAGGTTTTCATAGAATACACGTTAGGCATCATAACTTGCTCTTGTTTGGAAGACTTCTTATATGAACATGCAATGTCAAACACCACCTAGTGCAAGGAGGAAAATCTACATATTTTGGGATAGTCATCTTTTGTTTCAGATGTAAAAATACAATTTCATCAAAAGTAATATTCTTCTCAATTAAAAGTTAGGAGATTCAAGATCAAGAACCCATAACTTGTATCCCTTGACTATGGAGACATAAATGAGGAAAATATACTTATTTTTCTCTAACTCTAATTTTTCATCATTAATATAGACATGAAGTGGACAACAAAAAACATTTGAATTTGAATAATCAAGATGATCACCTTTCCAGATTTCTTCCAAAATTTTGAAGTCAATGGTAAATGTTGAAGATCTGTTCATAAGATAAGATGGTGTCGGCAATTTTTTGTCCTAAAGACCTACATTATAATGTATACAATAAAATCTTTATCTAAGAGTTTGGTTTATTATTTCTATAATTTTTAGTTTTTGACTTACACTATGATCAAGAAGAAGAGGTTGAATTGATATAGAACTGATTTTTTTTCTATTCCATAATTAAACTACGAGTCAACTTTTCTCCTCCATCACACTACTTAACTACATTATGATCAAGAAGAGGGGGTTGAATTGATATAGAACTGAATTGTTTGTATTCCATTCCTTACTAGATGAATAATAATTAAACTACAAGTCAACTTTTCTCCTCTTGTCACACTGCTTACTCTTATCCACATAATTTTATAGTGATTTGGCATGCTGCCTACATCCACTCTTCAAGAATAGAAAAGTTATTGGGTTCTACTATCACTGACAATTCAATCACACCCACTGATTTTTGGGATCAGCTCTAATAGAGTTTCACTAGAAACTCTATTCCAAATTCACAGCTTTGTAAGGTTCACCACTGTTCATGGATAACTACCACAATAAATATAGGATTCTGTTTATGTCTACTATAAATATGAAAGATTTCACTATAGATTTCCTTCTAGATATGAGCTGAACTTTAATGCTCTAGATATATGATGAAGAGGAGATGGCACATTGATGATTAAATACTTTTCTCTTCTCATTGAAATATTAGTTGAATATTGAATGCTTCTGCAGCTTTATTGAGTTGATAGCCTCTTCAATGCATTGGGGCTTGACTTGTATTAATTGCTCTGAGGTCTTGTAACGTAGTATGCTTGATCTTCACTTCTTTCTCACTTTAAATGTCTACCAACATAATAATTTATTTCAGGTGAGAAAGAGTGAGAGAGTGAGATAGAGAGATTGATGAGAAAGATAGTCATTATTTTTCCCATTGGGATTTCAAAGATATTTATAGATGTATCTTTGTATGTAAAATATTCCATGATCTCTGCAAATTTTCCAACATCTCCTTGTACTTAATAAGATGAAATTCAAATGCTTGAGTGAGACCAATAGGACATATCTCTTACATGTATCCTTTATTACTTAGCACACTAGGTCTCTTCATCTTGCTTCCGTATCAAAAAAATTGGTAGAGGAATACTCTTGATGAACCCTTACATAAATTAAATATGATCATAGATAATAAATCAAGTTCCACATTCAGCCACATTCATACATTTGATATTCATGATTACAAATATGATCATTCAATGTGTACGATCTCAAGATATGACATGTCATACTTTAGATATTCATAATATTATAGTTGACAAAAATATTTAACATTGTATAACATTCAGTTCACTCTGATCTTGTGAAGTATCTAATGAAGGATCATCTCCTAGACAAGATTGTCTACATACGAGTTCATACTTCATACTTTGTACTGATGTTCTTGGGGTTATCAATTCGTAAAGTATGTCATGAGAGGCTTCCATCCATGTGTATGTTTAATACATATATTCATCATCCTTAAATATAATCATGCTTGTGCATTCTACTTATCATCATGCATCTTCTCAAAACATTTACGATTGGATCCAGACATCTATGTGCAGATCAGTCTTATTCAAATATGTTTTTTGTCATCAAAACATTTTGTTTGATACGCCAATAGTAACTTCATTTTCTAGGGAGTATATCAAAATTGTCTAATGCTTGACAACCCTTCATTTTTACAAAAATCATTAAATTTGATTGAGAAAAACTCTAAATCATTATCAATCGTTAGTCACCCACTTTTTTCCATACTTGATTTTCGAGCAAAACCTTTCATTGTTTAAAATATTTAAATAATTCATTTTTATATTTTAAATTTTCACTTTGAAGTTAACTTTATTTTACTTTTAAAAAATAAAATGTTTACAAAAATTTGATCTTGTTGATACTTTTGTCCACAAAGTAAACCTCCCTTGCTCAATAGATATATTCCTTTGTTACTCATACTCCCCAACCTCATATGCCACAATTTGGTAACATATTCTTCTGTTGTT